AATTAATTTTTTTACAAAGCTTCTATATACTATGCCCTGTACTGATATGATATATCAGATAGGGTATTCAAAAGATCTGCATGCATATATCACATGTGTGTTTGCATGTATGTTACATGTCAAATGCATGATCTTTATTATAAAATAGGTTTTTATCTAAATTATAAGTACTCTAATTTTAAGGAAAAAAAATGTATATAAATTCTAATTCACTTAATTAGGCAAAAGCTAAACTAGGCTCTCGAACCAAGCTCTGAGACTACGGTTAACTGACCCTCTAGGTGCTCTTGCAATCAGTCTACAAGGTACTATTACTACACCTGTTCTTACCTCTCCCAATAGTTCGAAAATCTCATTCTGCTGATGTAATTCTTAACAAATGTAGGCTACTAAATTGCCTAGAAGTGCAGATATGTGTTGTTGGAATTATAATTTGCAATACAAGGTTGCTTTTAAATAGCTCGACCATATTAACTGTGAGAGAATGATTCACTTAATTTAGGATATTTATTAAATTTAGTATATGTGGGTAGTAATCCTAGGGCTTGCTGTTTTTTACTTGTTAAACACTCTTAACAGACTTCTGACCCTTCTAAAACCGAATGCTTTACATAATCTTTAACATACATAGTACCTGTTGAGCATACTCCTGTGCATACAAGGCATTAATAATGTGACATAACTATTCTACTACAATTCTAAATACTTTTCAATTACTTACTTTATTGTAATTCAAATACCTTATTTAATATTTACTTAGTTCGACAATTGCTTTGTCGAGTATTTGTTATAAAAAAATGTCCAATTAATCAGCTAGTTATTTAAGATAAGTAGTGTATATAAAAGATAATTTTAGCGAGATTAATATATGGGTCATTATTTAACTCTTAACTACAGGATATCCGGGCAGAAATAGAAAGCAGATCTTTGTTGAGTTTCGTTTCCAACTGCATCTTTAAGAGCAGAACAAACCCCTTATAACATTTCGCAGAGCATTAAGAAAGTCAGCGTTAATTGTGAGTGCGCCCACTTATATGCAGGGTGCTCACTGAACGAATCACTTCAATTGTAAATCATGGCCTGAGTGGCTCGGCTCCACCTCAAATGAATTTGTACTGATTTAAGACAGAACAACAAGCGCTTGCCAAATGGCCATTAACAATAATTACGACTGCAGCAATGCACAAACAAGTGCACTCAAATACACTCCACACGCACACATATATACATAGACACATGCAGCAAACACAGATACACCTACACAAAAACACACACAGTCACTTGCTAACAAACGTGAATTTTTGAATGAGCTACATTCGACTGATAGATACCTTTTGCACAGCAGTAAGGTGCTGGAAAGGTGATATCTCTTTTGGTATTTACGTCTCAATTTTTTTTCTAAGGCTTAATCTTTTTAATTGAATTTCATATAGTTATTTTATGAATATAAAATAAACACAAAACCTATAATGAAACAATCGAGCTTTCATTTTAAGAATATTGACTTCAGTTTTAATAATAGACTTTGTCAAATGCAGCATTAAAACTAACATCACCTAACTAGATTAGTACCAGCATTCTCCTTTCGACTTTCGACTAATCAACTAGTGAGGTCTGCAGACAAAAGAACAAAACCCTTTTTTTTACATGGTCATGGTGACATTTCGCCCGGAAATGCACACATACTCTTTACCCCTTTTGTCTTTTGGGTATAGGGTATAAAAAGCAATGCCAGTCAAGAGCACACTCTACAGAAATTGGAATAGGGGTAGGTCAAAGGGATGCTCAATGGGATATAGAGCAAGAAAGAGTGAGGAAGGGAAAGAAGGAAAGAGAGACAGAGAGAGAGAGAGAGAGTGAGAGAGAGAGATAAAAATAGACAGATCTAAACAGTGCAACAATGCAACAGAACAATTTGCATGCCAACTGACGCGAATGCCAACTGAAATCAGCCGGCCACTGTTTCAGGTGCCGCTGCCATTGTGGCTGCTGCTCCACCTGAAGCTGTGCCACAAAATGGTAACAAACCCCAAAAAATGGCTCTCTGTTGCAAGTACAAGTTACAACTTCATTATGCAGTTGCATTGTGCGGCAGGCAACAGCCAACAGGCAAACGCAGCCTGCAGCGTGTGTCGCTTTATTAACATCTTGAATGTGCGGGTCACAGTGCAGGGCGGGGTAGGGGAAAGGTGGTGGGGTTTGGGTTGGTTGTGCCGCGGCTGCTGATGCAACATTGCTGTGCCCCATCATTAAAATACAATTTTCTGTGTCAGGTTCAAGCTGCAGCGCACAAACGGACGCACTGTGAGAGAATAAGTTTGAGATACGGTGACAACGTGCATGTCTAAAGGACTACACGACTGTCCCATAGTCGTAGGACTACAGGACTAAATGACTACAACGACAACGGGACTGTAGCGATATTAGTGCATGTCCTTTTTTGGCACAGCTTTTGTTGCCGGACAAGCCAAACAGCAGACCCGACACCCTGGCAACGGGAACCAGGCGAACAACAAGGCCATTAAACATGAACCTCGTTACGGCGTCAATTTTGATGTTGATGTTGTTGTTGTTGTTGCTTAGCTTTTGTATGTGCCCTGCACTTGCTGGCCTCACTTAATGACTTTTGTGCATACACATACACACACACACACAACGTACACAAACACCTGCCTGACCTTATCCAACTATGCACACTCAAAGAAAAAGTACTAACTTCTTACCTACACTGCATAGAATTCGGAGCTACTTATTGATATATGCATAAAATATTTTAATTTTGACAATTCTTTAGTAAAGCATAAATCGAAATAGATTTTAATTGAAATTCGTCAATTTTTAATAATTAGCAAAGCCTAAGATTAAGTACAAAATATTAAAGATTTCATTCTTAAAAAAATAGGCACAAATCGCTTGGAATAGGACTGCGCAACTTCTGGGACTACAATTTGTTCAGATTGAACATATAATTTAAACAAATTTAATTATCAAAACATTTATTAAATGTTCTTCTGGAACCACAATATTTTTTTAATTGAACAGAAAATTTGTAAACTGGAAAGTTTCCTAAGAAATATAAAGCACACGAAACTAAGTAAAAGAATATGCATTCTTGAAATAAAGCGTAAAGCGTTTGCAATAGAAATACAACATTTATTCAGAAAAAAAATTTTCTTCGAATTATTAAGCTCAAGAAACTTATAACAAGAATTTTGTATTCTCAAAACTATCGTAAAACGTTTGAAATGGAAATATAACAATTATTTAGATAAAAATTTTCTACGAATTATAAGGCACAAGAAACATTTTACAATAATTTGCATTCTCAGAACGTTCTTAATTAAAGTTCAGAGCTTCAGTTATTAAGACTAAATTGGGGTTTTCTCCGAGTGTATTTGCTCTCTGCTGCTGGGTGTTGTTTTCGAGTGTTGTTGTTGCTGCTGCTGCTGCTGCTGCTGCTGCTGCATGCGGTGGCAAACGTGCCCTTGTTGGGTTTGTGGTCTGCAGCAGACAGCCATCCACCCACACCTCTAGTAATAACCATTTTTCGGCAGCAATTAATTTCAAGTTTAACACGCAGCGTTGAGAATGTCCAATCCAGTGCTCACACCAGCTACAGTCCCCCCACTCGCAGGACAAACAAACAGCAGAGTCAAGCGAAACATTATTACATAATGTGGCTTGTCTGCCACAGGCTAGCAACTGCATCTGTGGCAACAACAGGCGAAAAGTCAACGCCAGTTGACTGCACTGTGTAGTGGCAGCTGCAGGGGGCATATGATGCTGCCTAAGTTGGCATGATTGTCTACGCAAAGCAAACGTAGCTGAGCCGCTACTTAAGCAACAGGACATAATCCTGGCCCACCACTTGTGTGCGGGTGCAAGCAGTCAGTTTCAAGGACTTCGCAAATGCAAACAGGTGATGACAACGACGACAGCAGCGATAAGCAAAATAATAACAAAACCCAGTCAGCGAGAGAAAAAGAGTAACAACAAAAGCAGCAAAGGCGACAACCAGAGAGAAACGCATAAGACGAGAGCGAGCGAGAGCGACCGCTCATTGACACAATTGCGGCGCAGGCGCTGGCTTAAATTCGAAAAGAAATTCCGATTCGCAGCACTCGGCTGCTTAAAAAGGCACGTCCTGGCTGCATGCTTAGCTCAGTCTAGTGCTGGATGTATGAACGCAAGGACACTCGTGCAGTGCGTACTCCAATCAAAAAGTGACAAAACAAATGTGAGGCCAAAAGCCTACGAGTTGCCAAAAACAAAAAGTTAAATAAATAAAAAATAAAAACAAAGAAAATGTAAATTTAACTCAAAGTAAATTTTGGCCCAAAGCCTGAACTACATGCTTAATGCTGTGTCTAGTGAGGGTGTGTGTCCATGTGTGTGCGTGCAAGTGCTTTGTTATGATGCTTATGCCTGTCGCTTCTATTTTTTGTTGTTGTTGTTGCGTGTGGCAAGCAGCAAACGTCAAACTTTTTTGTGGCAGACATCAGGGCGTCAAGGAAGCTGTGACTTTTGTTGTTATTGCCTGGCAGCGCAGGATGTGCCAGCAGCTGAAGGCCTGACTCGCTGCTGTGAACTCAGCTGGCGCTATTTTCGTTTAGTCATTCATAAATTTATGTAGCATACTTTTGTGCGCTGCTAGTTTTAGTTCTTTCCATCTTTTTAGAGCTGCTAGCAAAAACCTCATATTTTTAGCCAAGTTTTTCTTAGTGTTTGCTTGTGTGTGTAAAAAACCAGCTCATTTCCGCTGCATGCTAGCCATATACACACACACACACACACACTCCGGAACACACACACCTAAACAACAGCGTAAAAAGAAAATTTGACATTTAACAGTTTAGAATTACTTATATTTGTTAATACTACTTTTATATTAGAAACAAGGAAGATAAATTAATTATTATGATTAAAAAGGAAGAAAATTAACAGGGTGTATTTACCGTATTCAGTTATTAAATAAAAATTAAAATCTAAAATAAATATCTAAAATAAATTTTTAATAAGTACATTAAAGCTGCAACCTGCATTTAATTTCAGTGCTTAACATTTAAAGCAAACTGAGACAAATAAACAAAACAAACCAAAAATAAGCAAAAAGGAAAATAAACAAGTAAAAGAAAAAACAAACAAAAAGAAAAAGGAGACCAAATCAAAACGAAAAACGAAATTTAAACGTCTGCATATTAATCAGCGGCCGCTCTCGCGACGCGTCCACGCCGAGCACAGCCTCAGCTTTGAGCTGGACAGGACCTGCTGCAACAGGACAACTTATCATCAAGGATTTACAGACGCCGCGCGTAAAGCCGCTTAGACGTGAGGGACGCGTTCACATGCCCCAAAGCAAACGCTAATCAGGGGCCACAGGAACAGACGCGCGCTGGGCGCGGCTCGCTGAGCGACTGCCGCTGCTGCTGCTGCCACTAGCCACTGGCTACGCCTCCTGCAACAACAAGAAGCAGCAGTAACGTCGGCTCATTTGGCCACTGCGGATTATGTTAATTAGGTAATTTTTGCTTTGATTACTCGTACCTTGAATTTGCGACACAACCGAGCCCCCCAACACATCCCTCACAAACCACCCGGCTACCTCCCACTCTCGGGACCTGTCCACGTCGCTTACATATTTATGAAATTTTCATGTAAATCGCGCTAATTCATGCACATTTTGCTGCCGCTGCCGCTGCTGTTCTTGCTGCGAGGGTTGTCGCTGCTTTGCTTTTTTTTTGTGCTTTAATTGCAACATAATTTTCTGTTCTTTTTTTTTTTGGGTGGGAGTTTACACTGCCCAGCCAAATTATTTTCGCAAAGAAAACAAAATATAATTAAAATGCGCTCCAAACTTTATGCTTAAATTAGAAAAGTTGTCAAGTGATTTTTATTTAAAATTATGTTATCGTATTTGTCTTTGGCAATGCACAAATGCTTTTTAATTTTCCTTAAGTCATGTTGAATTTTAATTTGTCTACCCCATGTGACAGGCAAAAGAAAGTGAACTAAAGATCAGGAGTCGAGCACGTTATATCGACAATAGTACGCTTACTTGAAAATCTGAAGGCCTCCCTCGAATTTATGAGTATCACATATTAGAGCGTAGTTTAAATACGCATTTTGTTCAACAAATGTTATTTTAATTAAAAAGAACAGCTTGAAATTCAAATAATTCAAGCGCTATCAGCCCTTTAAGATTGAGTTGAAATAAAAATAAACTTTGATATAACCAAAGGCAAGTTGCTTAAATGGAAACCAAATATATTTATTGAATCAATATTGCTGCTTATTTCATTCAAGTAACTCGTGTGTGCCTTTTAAAATAATATTATCAAATAATTCACAGCCAAAGATATGAAATACAATAATCAAATTTATTTATCACAATCAAAAGGCCACAGGCAATCAAGTGCGCAATTTGATTAATTTAAGCTTTATAAATGCCAAACTCACACGCACACACGGGCAGGTGCCCAAAACAAAAGCATAATCAACTTGGAGAAGTTTAGAAGCAGTAACAAAAGGAAAACCAGCATCTGTGTTAGCCATTGAATACTTTTGTGCAGCCCAAGCTTGGCAATAATTGAATTATAAAGTCGTACGACTCGATTGTGAATTACGAGTGACAATCCACAAGCATAAAGGGCATCCAGCTTAAACAAATTAAAGCACAACCAAAATAACAAAATATAATTTATACTCAAAGAACCATTTTAAAGTTGTCAACATTGAAAATCCCCTTTAGGTAGACTTGCAACTCACTTGTTCGGTGCACTTTTCGAAACCAGCTTTCTCTTTTGTACTCAAGCCAGAGGTCTTGCTTTGAATCAAACGTTGGATTTGAAGCAGCTCTCTTTCTTTGATTCACTCCTTGGGTTCAAACAAGCTCCGTGTCTTTGGTCCAAACCTTTGTTTCTCATATATTTTCAAAATTTTACTAGAACCGAAATCTAAAAAGCAAATTAGAGTACAGAATGCGAACTGGTTCAGTTCAACGGTTCAGCCTTGGGTTCAGCCTTTGTTAACGAATTAATGTAAAATAAACTATGGTCTAATTGAAGTTTAATTTTAATTTAATTTATAGACTAATTCTGTTTCATCTTTACCGAAATGATATTGACCCCAATTATTTTAGCCAAAAAATTAAGGCTGCAACTCAAATATAAAAAAAAGAAGTATGTCACTGTGTTGTCAATCCTTGCATTCGAACTATCTACGTGTCTTTGGTTCAACCCTTGGTTCAAATATATTGTCAACATTTTACTCAAATATAAGTTCAGTTGATTATTAATAGGTAATTGGAACTCCGGATGCGAACCAGTTCCGTTTTCTGACGAATAAAAGTATAATAATCTTGAGTCAAATAAAGTTTCAATTAAACTCAGATTATCGATATGAACTGCATATGTTTTTTATTAATAAGCATGATAAAAATCTACAATGATATATATAGTAGATACTTTTGCTTTTTTACTTTTACTTATTTAAATAAACTTGAATACTATTCTCTTTACTGACCCATGCGTAAAGTCTGCATAGTTCGAATGCGTCAAAAAATCTTTTTAAAAACTTTTATGCAGCTGCTGCATTCAAACAAACGAGGCGCATTAGTTATTGTTGTTATTATTTATATTGCAGTTGTTGCTGTGACTCAGTCTGGTTGTCTAGCAGTTTATGATTTTCAATTTAATTTTATTGATTTTGGCATTGTTTGTGGGAGGCCATAAAAAATTCATGCGCACACAAACAAATGAAGAACGAAAAGCAGCTTTGGGGCAACCGAAAAAAAAAACAACGTCCAAATATGAAAATAAATTGATGAAAATCCTCTGGGCATCTAATTTATGTATGACAAAGAAGCAACAAGAAATATGGCTCATATATATAAAAGATAATATATATACAAGCAGCTGATTGAGCAATAATAATTTGTGTCTTATCTGAGGGGGCAGGGCATCTTGCAGGTAGACCCCTCGAAAAGTTATAAAGTCCAAGCTTGAGCCAATTAAGGCAGTCACAATGTCTAATTAGATGGCGGCAAAAGTGCCGCCAGATAACGCACACACAGCCACCCTGACACACACACACACACACACGCCACCTTGTAGCTGAGCTCAATTAAACATGCCCGGGCGTTGGCCAAGTGGCTCTTAAGCTGCAGCATAAGCGACCGCAACGCGGCGTATGAGTAATGCGGCGGCAGATACACACACGCACACAGAGGGCAAACACAAAGCCAAGCAACAGTCTCTAGCTGGGGTCGCCACACTTGAGCTCCATTGTTTACAGTTCGGGTTGGGGCTCCGGCTCCTGAAATCCGAGAGCATCGAGTTATATGTACATAACAATCAAAATCGTTAGTTGCTACCCTCTTTCAACAGGCTGGGGCGGGTGCGAGGGTGCGCGACAGCTAGTTGAGCAAGTGTACAGCAAGACGTTAGGTAGCATATAATCAAATATTCGTATACCCTTGTAGAGGGTATTATAATTTTGTCACCAAATTTGCAGGACACAGCACCGAACACATAGAGTACATATACATTCTTTATAAGCATCGAGTTGACATACTATGTCCCTCTAGGTGTGCAAAGTAGGCTCTTAGGTTCATAAAACTTCAAAGGTCTTAAATAGGTCGGATCTATCCACTATATCATATGCTTGCTATCGGTAAGAAATTTATGATATAACAACATTCATATTTTTAAAGATTAATTAAATTTAATGGGAATGGTTAAGTTTATAATTGCTGAGCTAAGCTTCTCAACTTACATATCTGCTAAGCCGTACCAAATCGGACTACTATATAATATGCTTCATGTATATACCAGTAGTATGAAAGTGTATTTAATTTTTGGTGTGGCAAATATAGCTGGTCTTTCTAGATTTTTTCTTTTCTTGCAAGGCTCAAAGCTTAGTGAAGCACAGGAGAGCGAAAGGCAAGGCGGCAACCGCAGCTACTTTCAGACGGTCTCAGGGCAGCAGGGGGTGGGAAAGAGGGATCGGGAAGTTGTGCGGGGATGCAATTTGCATATTTATGAAGAAACAGCTCTGACTGCAAAAGACAAGCGGCATGGCTTTAAGCTGCTTCAAATTGAAAAACGCGTTCGGCAAAGAAAAGATACAAATGCAAATGGGCGCTGGTTGAGGGTTGCTTTTCGGGGAATCTCTGAAAGGAGCAACAATAATCTGCGCTGATTTACGATTTACAGGCGCGAAATAGACACAGACGTTGGTTTTCCGAGCGCAGGAGGGGTGGGGGGCTACTGAAGTACGCGCCGTTTAAGCAGGCAATTTGCGTACGCAATTTGCAGTTCATGGGCGGCACACGCCGCCAACCCACATCCCTCCCACAGTGCAGCCCACTCAAAACATTTTTGCAAAAAGTAACAGCAAAACAATAAAAAGATAAAACACAGATTTTGATGGCTGGTTTTGCACAGTTTCCAAAAGCACTTCAAATGCCACATGGAAAACTGGGTGGGTGAAAAGCGGCAATCGCTGCTGGTTTTTGTTGCTGCTGCTGCTGCAAAACAATTGCGTTTTTCATGAAATATGCAAAGCCAGCACAAATATGCCATATTTGCGGCGCCCATAAAGCAAAAATGGAGCAGTTCATGGAGAATTCAGTTCAAGTTTTTACTGCAATTGGAAATATCATAAGCAGATTTTCCAACAGCCGAAGCTGCACAGAAAATATTGTTTTGCCGTTGTCTAAATAACTCTCTCTTGAAATTGTGTTTAATTTTTGAAACTATCCCGTATCGAGTCGAGTCTATTTTCGCTGCATTTAGTAACGCATTTCCCAAGCAAATATTAACTATTCAATTTTAATTCAAAATTTTCTTTGATGTTATTCACCCAACGGAAAAGTCAATTTACTTCGATTAAAGCACTCAACATGCAGCACATATTGTTGTTATACTTGCAAACATTGTTGTGAAAACGAAAACGTGCACTGAGAGGAATAGTATAGTTATACTGTTTGCTTTTAGAGCAATGTCCACAGCTTTAAATTAATTTCTTTATACATTTTTTTTAATATTGCTTTAATTTTGAGGTGCTGCAGCTGATGGAAAACGATAGTTAAATAAATAAATTGTATATTTATGAAATAACAACATTCTATATTGTATATTATAAAAAAAAAAATCAAGAAAATAATGAAAGCTTTTTTGTATCAAAAATTTTTGCGAAAATATTGATCTCAAATATAGATAAAATTACTAAAATAAGGGAGCGATACAAATGCTTAAGAAATGCCCTTTCTCACAGTGTACTTGTAATAGTACACTTTGGTGCAAAAGAAGGAAACAAAACTAGAGTGCACTTAAAACGATGAGGAAAATAAAAATAAAAACAATAGCCAGAAATTTAATTTTTCAAAGAATTTTTAACGGAAATGATGATAACTAAATCTCACAGTATTCTTAATATGATGCACCTCTGCCAAAAGTCAGAGACAGACGAAGAATTTTAAGCCCTTTAAATACTCTAAAAATTTAGCGGACAGAATTT